ACAAAGTGGAATTTTTCTATGCCTCTGCCTCAAGGCAGATTCAATTTGAAGTTGTTTAATGCACTGATTTTTTGAAACAGAATAAAATCCCAAACAAATATAGATAAGCTCAGAAGCAGATGTTTTAGTTCAAAACTTTCTTTTGAAAATTTTGTAGTTGTAATCAATTGAAAAGGAAAAAAAATCATCTAATTTTATCTTGATTGACTCCCTCTCTGATTTATTTTTTTCAGAACTGCCAGCAAACAATAAACGAGTCACTAGAAAAGTCAAAATTGATCATAAAACTCTACTTTCAGAATATTCAGGGCAGCCCAGAAGTTACCTGTGCTTCTATTCAATCTTACACTTAGACTTCTCCTTTTGAGTTTGCATGAAGCTTAATCTTATTGAGACTGGACTGTGTGCACCAATAATGACAAACAGGTGGATCATCATTGTATTTGTTTTGCATGTTTTGTAACTCAGTTACCTCATACTCTTCTCAGAAATACAAGACCTAACAAAGAATTAGCTTGTGAAAAAAAAAAAAGGATGAATCATGTTAATGCTGCACAAACATGTACTAACAATACAGAAGCAAAATATATAAACTCATCTTCTGTTCTCATAGCTTGTTAGATGTTGTCTTAGGAAATTCAAACCATGTTCTAGCAAATAACACAAAAAGGGAAATAAGCTGCTGCTTAACACCAATAGCAGCAATATCATTTATTGCTCACCTGGCTCATGTTAGGAATCTGAAATGGTCAGGATGGGAGGGAAAAAGAGCAAAGACAGAACTGGCATGTGAAGGGAGGCTGAAAGTGGCATGCTGACACATTTACTAGCCCACCAAAGCCTGTTGTCTGCAACAGCACTGCACTATTTCATCTCATCCAGAACAGTCCTACCAGAGGTGGAAATATTTCACCTTGTTGAGGACTTACAGGCTATAGACTCACCCTGTGTTTTCTGTACAGCCTTTCATAGTTCCAGACGTTGTCTGTTCATAAGGTATTTTATAGTGTTCCAGCTCCCAGGCCATTTCTAGCATGAGGAAGGGAGGTTTACGTGATCGTATGGCTCATTGGGTCTCCCAGTTATTTCCAGTCTCAGACAGCTTTGGAAAAGCTGGAGTCTCAGAGGATGCATGTTTTCCTGCCTGTTTCACAGCCCCAAAGCCCAGGCAGAGCAGAGAGACTCCAGGCAGTGTCCCCATCAAAGCCAAGCAGGGAAGAGCTGGCAGGTCCATTGCAGGGAGCAGCCAGGCAGCACCATCTCACTCCAACCCCACCTCTTCTCCAAGGAAGGGGCAGTGCGTGATGTCTGGGAGAATATGCAGAGGGAGCAATGGACACAAATATATAGGAAATTTGTCATAGTTTCACCATAAAAAGCTAGACTGGGCAAGCTTCTGTTTTCTTCATTCTTTTCACCAAGACAGAAGAGCCTTCTGTACCACTGAGTTTTACATGTTTTAATGTGACAACTCCATAATACACTTTCCCTGCCTAAGCAGGTAGCCCACAGTTTTAGTGATGCCTGTCTGCAAGCAGCCTCCCCACATCAGACACGGGAAAGGCCACTTTCAGGTTCAGTACTGAGTATCCCCCAGGGCTACTCTGGGACCTTTACAGCCCTGGAAAGAACAATCTGCTAGCTTGTCCCTGTACTTGAAGACAAATAATTCTACATCCAGAACTGCTCATTTGTATTCAATTGCTCCCCTAGGCTCAATGCATTTGGATATTTGGTCATGAGGAGTTTGCTTGTTTGGGAGGCAAATAACCTTCCAGTGACATTTTTCCAAGACACCTAAAAACATATCTAGAGGTAGCTTTGCTTACTGTATATGGTTCATTTAGCATGCCATAGACAAAGTAGAGGCCTCTGACACTCACAAATCACAAGAATATAATTCTGATTCATTTGCTTTGGATACAGAGATAAGTGTTATAAAATATTGCATTTTATATCATTGTCAGGACATAGCCAAACACACTGTATAGTTTTTTACGTACATACGTGAGGAATGTGACAACCAAAGGGCAAAGACTTATGTCCCTGAACATAGGAGACTCTGAAGGAACAAAAAGTTTCGAGACAAGATAAGCACGAGGGATTGCAAATAGGAAGGCCATGCTGTCAAACAGGCAAGAAGGATGACTGGCCAAAAAAAAAAATGAAAAAGAAACAAGATAAGCTGTGTCAGGAACAGATGAGACTTCCTTTCTGAGAATGGAGCAAGTAGCATAAAAACAGAAGGCATAAAGCAGTAACTGGAGAAAAAAAAGGAGGCAAGCTGGCTTCTCTCGCCAAGGAGCACTGGGACACAGGGCCTTGGCCTCAGCCCCCTTGACAAAAACCACCACGGGCTGCCTACTCACCACTTACCTACAGTATAAAGGTTAAAGACTAACTGTTTCACATATGTAGTAACAAAGATTAATAACGTGCAAGAACTAATTACTAGCTAATGAATGAATTTGGTAGTTTGGATTTACAATTTGAAAATGATATCAGTGTTCAAACTCTCCCATCACAGCAATCTCAAGCCCTCTCATCGATGTGATTGATGCGTACCACACCTTGGCACTCCAAAAAGGTTTCATGGATACAGGAAACGAGTTGAATAATATGAAGTGCATCTATCCAAGGTTTCTGCAGAAAAAAGTGTACCTCACAGCATCCCTGTACCATCCTCTTCAGAAATACTAAACTTGTCTATGTACTTTCCTTTGAACCAAAGATAACCCAAACCCAAGCAAGCCATGATGTACATTATAGCCATTTCCAGATTCTTGGGATGTGTAATTTTTTTTGCTTTGTCTCACAGTCAGTGGAGTCCTACACCAACAGCAACAAATGCTGCTGAAATGCAACCCTGATCTTTCTTCAGATTTGATCGGGCTACCAATTGAGATGGCAAACGTGTCCTGCAAAGTCAGCTGATTTTTCTTCTCTGAAGAGAGAGAGTAAAGATATTTATAGCTAGTTGAAAAATCTCCTGTCTTAATAGCAACATTCCACCAAAAGGCAAATATACACATACTTAAATGCAGTTTACTTACTTTGGCTAGAATACAGATTTTATGAGGTAAAATGTTTATTACAAGAGTTTCTAAGCTGGAAAACTATCTGTACACAATTCTAACTCATTTAAATTCTTTAGGTTTATAAACTACAAGCAAAAAGGAGATATTCCCCATGATATGTCCAAACAGTAATGATTTCCAATTATCTCCACTGTCAAAAATGCTGTAGTGAAAGCCAGGCACAGGTACAGCTCTACTCTTAATGGTTAGCATTCAAAAAAAAGACCTCATAGACCTCACATGCGAGTCAGAACAAAATTAAACAAAACTAATGGCTTCACCTTAGCACAGCAGAACACAATGTCCCTATGTCAAGTCACTATTTCAGATCGAATATCTCTCCAGGGTGTATAGAAACAGTCTTAGTGATTAAAAAATAAATAAAAATAAGCTAGTCAAGCTGAAAGCACTGCTAGCTCAAGAGTTAAGATGGACTTGATCCTGTAGCTCAAAATTAACCTATCACCCCAGTAACCTTCTTAAGGGCAGCATGAAGGTAACTGAAAGCTCTGGAATAGGTGAGAAGAAAATCCCTGAGCATCAAGGCAGCTACTGCAAGGCTGTGCCCCGAGCTGACCCCAATGCAGACTTTGGCACCAAGGCACTCAGCAGCCACACGCTTCACCAGCGTGCTGCAGCATGCAGCAATCTCAACACTGCCCAAAGCTACTGGTGACAGCCTAGCACTGCCTCCCACGAGCTGCTCTGGGTTCAAGATGGAAAGGCATTTAGGTAGACTACAAGTTTCCAGAAGTTCTCTCTTTATAAGATGCAAGAGCTTACTACACCTCTCACATGCCTTGGGAGGATGTTCAGATGCAGCTTGTCAACCAGACCTGTGCTACAAGTGCCAACTGTGCTTCCTCGCTTCTCCATCTCGTTTTTGAGTGCCTCATATCTCCCTTTCTCTTGATGACAGCTGTAAAACATCTTGGTGCTTTTCAAGGCCTGTGACCTACAGAGGAGTGCTCACTGTGCCCTGGCATCACATAGTGTGATGTTTCTTCATGGGTGCCAAGGAACCGCAGGGAGTCAGGGCCAGCTAGAATACATGCTGCTGCCAGCCCACCTCTGTTCACATCCATTCCAGCACATGCAATAAGCTACAGGAAAGGATGCAGGAAAGAACAGAACATGTCATGCAGGCAGTGACTCAGCCCCCTGTTCAATCTTGGCACCAGCAGTCTCAGAAACAAGGAGATAGCGGCTGCTTGACACTGAAAGCCTGACCAAGGAGGAACTGTTCCTTCCCTATACATTTCTGGGATGAAGGCACTCGCAGGGCAAATGGGAAGCAACACTGAAAGACAGAGGTGAACAAGCAATGATAACCCTCAAAAGATGGACACTAAGCGTAAGCTCAGCCAGGATACAATAGACACATCAAAATACTCATAATCAAAAAATAGTAGTACATGTCTAAACACTTCTCAGCTGTATTCAGTCATCACCTATGGTTGCCTATAGGGAAAAGCCAGCCAGACCATTTCCCAGTCTTCCTACTACTAGACAGGGCTGAGGTGTACACATGGGATGACAATTAAAGCATAGACAAGGGACAAGCAAGGACAGCAATGCTACCTAGCCATCACTGACATCTCCCTTTAGCCACTGCCCAAGAGGAGCAAAGCCCAGCTCTGCGTGGCACAGTCTTCACTTGTCTTCTTCCCTCCCACAGAGGGGAACAGGTTCCTCTGCTCAGCTAACACTGAGGTTAAAGTGCAATTAATGATACTAAATTATTGAAAGCAGAATGACAGAGTTCTTTTAAACAAGGCGAGACAGATTAGCACCAAATGTTCTCCAAAAAAGCACTATCAGCACAGATAATGCATCCCTAGCAAGGCATGATCAACATCATCTCTCAGATCTCTGGGGTTTTTTTTTCCTATTCCTATAACCTAAAGGCATTCTGGTTCTTACCGATGTGCAAAAGATGCAGCTGCATTCCTGAAGAGTGGTCATCTTATCCAGAGAATATTCACAGAGACACAGCTTGCATGTGAGCAAGGGCTCCAGAGCTAACTCTCCAGCTTTTGACTCATCAGCTGTCATGGTGTGAGTGCAAGTCTTCCCAGTAGAGCCCATCTGGTCATTAATGGTCTGCTCAACCTGAAAAGAGAAATCAGCAGCTGAAATTTCATGCAAGCTGTGTAGTGACTTCATTGATCTGAGAGCCTACTGCTCAGCACCTGCCCATCCAAAGGTATTACTTTGAAATCTTGGTGCCAGTCTTATACTCCTGATCATTTATGATTTACTAAGAAGGTGTCTGAGAACCCTAGAAGGCCCAGTCTGGGTTGATTCTCAAAGAATATTTAATTCCCTGGCACAAAGTACGTAAGACAGACCATTTCCTCAAATTACACATAATAATAGGGAAAAAAAAAATGGAACTTACACAGATGACACACTCCCAGTATTGCATGCAACAAAATCCCCAGAGCAAGGGTATTACTTGGGCTGATAAAGTACTAGTTTTAAAAAATAAAAAGGCTACATAAGATGTGTGCATATATATGCAGAGCTAGGATAAGATGTAAATCACTCTCTTCTCAAAAGAGTATCACTGTCCCTTCCGCACTGACTTATTTTCATACCCTTCCCAGTTCTATAAATCCTTTGGGGTTTGCTGCACCTGCATAGTTGCAATAAGCATTTCCACCTTCCCTTTACAGCCAGCCTGCCAGCTAGAGAGCTGCTCTGGGCAGTGCAAGACCAGTAAGCAGAGACAGGCGGCTTTGCACTCCCTAACACCAGAACATTCGTACACCAAACATTTAGTCTGTTATGTAAAGTATAAGCTACATATTCTCTCTGAGCTGTGATTGAGACAGTGAGTTAGCAGGTCATCTGGAGAGCGGTAGCAAAAGCACCCAAAAAGGGAGACTGCATCCACTACTTCTGTGTGGGGTGGGAACTTAATCCAGAAAAGAAAGCATATTTCACATATATTCCCCTCTTCTAATTCTCTTTTGTGGTGGTGATGCTTGTTTTCCACTTGAGATATTTAAAAAACACCGCACCATAACCATGAAAGGTTTCAAGATCCTCATTCTCACCCAGTTGCACTGAAAGAGAAATTAAAAAAGAACATTCTCATGCTTAACATGCTGAGACAACAGGAAGAAAACTTAGAGATTTTAGAGATTTCAGCACAGGCAGTGGGGTGGCTACACAGGAGAAGTGATTTCCATCTGTGAGAAACTTGGCCCAACTTCTTGGGCTTGTTTCTGAATACACCATGCTGAGGGCAAGGAGACCCTCACACGCACATTTCTGACATGCAGAGGGAGACCTGGCAGCCCTGTGCACGCAGCTGCTTCAGCCAGTGCAAAACCAGAGAGCGGCTCTGCTGGCCCAAGAGGCTGAACAGAGGCTGCCTGAGCATGAGAGCAACTCCATGCAACAGGTCCCTTCCCCAGGGCTACCCAGAAGCCTCGTTCCCCATGGGGCTAGGACAGATGTCCTCCAAAAGCTGTGAAACCACAGCAAACGTGTGGGGCACACCCGCCTGATTTTCATTTCGACACCCATTAGTTTCCCAGCTTAGGCTGACAGAGAAGCCCTCAGACGCCTCCCTCGAGATGTCTCTGGTAAGCGCCCAGTTTTAGAGGCCAAGACTCTGACAACCAGATCTCTGGCTGCTTATCCAGAGCACCTTCTGCCTTTAATCGTTTGCTATCGCTAGCTCAAGACACACATCACACCCACGTTATTCTTGGCTTGGTCCCCGCCTGCTACCACGCTGTCCCCCAGGGCTCCTTCCAAGCAACCATGGAGCTGGAATTACACTGTTGCCAGAAGCCCTTGGAACGAAGCCTCTCTCTGAGTCAGAAACTGCAATACTGTTCTGTAATTACTGCAACAGAGGAGGGGGGAAAAAAATCAGTGAGTCAGTGGAAATGCTACAGCAGATCAAGAACTACCTGTTGTTTTGAACTAGGTGCTAGACGGTATCTTAATATTTAGGAAAATTGTGCAGCTACATCCATAGGGCTGCTCACCAATACACTACAGATCTGTCATTTCTTCATTTATATGATAAAAGGTAGCAGCATTAAGAGGATTGATGGAAAACAGAACAAGTGGGAATATTTCAGGATTTGAGACTGTACAACACACAGAGCTGCTTACAACTCCCAACTCCCTTATTTTTATAAGTTAAAGGTTTACCCTGCACAGTTCTATTAAGGAAGCAGCTGAAAGATTAGTGTGTGTGACTCAAGTTTGGGTGTGGGGACTATTTAAGATGGTCTAAACATGGCACTCAATACGAGTGCCCAAGTAGTGACCAGATGTGACAGTGTGACAGCTACAGGGACTTGTTTTTAATACCCTCTGGCAGCCCAAGCCCCGAAGAGTGCTTGCAGATTAAGGTCAGTGCTTGCAGAAGGACCTCACCCGTCCTTCTCTCTCCCACCAGGATGTGGGAGAGAGGCAGAAGTGCTCCCTGTGGAAATCATCCTGTGGAAACCTGCAGCAGGTAACACAAAACAAACATGCTGGACCAGAGAATCCAGTCACCCAAAAGGCCCGGCCTGGCTGACCTCAGCACAGCCTTCATCACCCCAGTTAGAGTTCAGGGTTAGAGCCCCTGAACAGCCAAGCCACCTCCTACACAAGACCTGCTGGTCACATGATGCCACCACCAAGAGCACCCTTCCCATGATCCCTAAGGAGCCAGCTTGTCCATAAACAGTTCTCCAGGAGAGGCTGGCATAGGCAAAGCCTTTTTGTTTGCAAATGAAAATCTGTCTGTCAAAGATATAGTAGATGCATGACCTACTTGCCTACTCCTTTCCCCAGAGCAGCCCAAAGTGGTGCCTGCTTCAGTCTATGAGAACTGCTGCTGACGCTACTGATAAGGGAAGTTTGCAAGCAAAGGTTATGGAAAAGAACAGCCTCTATCCCACAGCAACATCTTCTCTGAAGAGAAATCACACCTACAGAACCACATTCATACCCTGTGATCATAACAGACAGCGGAAATGATGGGGAGTGGGGAAAAAAAAAATAAGAGCATACCTAGCCTGTCTTTTCTCCAGTTCTCACCCACTGCTCCTCCTGTTTCCCAGCACCTCAGGGCGCTTTGCTCTGTCACAGGGCTCCTAAACCATCAGTCCAAACTTTCCTACACAAGCAAAACTAAGTTTTCCATACACTGCAGGGAAGACATGAATCTCAGTTGATGCAGTTTTATAGCTTTCACTTTGCTAGGCCTAGTCCCACAGGCTATCATTAGTTAATTATACACCTATCAGCTGTCTTTACAGTGGATTAAAATTCCTACTGTAATTACAGATGAGTTGCCAAGAGTTTGTTGTAAACAAAACACCTTGAATACATCTGTTTTGCAAGGCAAGATGGGGACAATGAAGAATCATTTGACAGAAGAAAAAGAGTATCTCATATTTAGATTTTATTAATAAAAAAAGACTTAAAATAGAAGTAAATGGAAAGTCTCTAGAAAAAAAAAATGGACCCTAATATACATGAAATATATTTCTAATCACTAGTATCTTCCCATTCATGCTTAGTATTCACACAAAAAATAGTTTATTTAGGGCAGAATCCCCAATAAAACAATAAATGTACCATTAAAAGTTGTGCAAAATGGAATGTACTGCAAAACTCCTCAAAAAAGCTCCACTGAATGACAGTAAAGTCTCATAAAATACTATGGAATAAGGATAAACATATCTCAGGGATGCTTTAATCTGGAGTAATATACTAAACTAAATTCTGCATCCGTAAAAAAAATAAAACAATGGGAATGAAGTGACAAACTGGCCCCACTGGCTGTGTAACCACTCCTGACTTGTAAAAACCCCAAAGATCTGAATGTTCCCATCCTTCTCTGAACTATGGACATGCACACACATACACAGATGACATTCCTTTTACATTGCACATGACTTCCAGGAAATGGGACAAGTTTCCTCAAATTGTATGCCTCCCACCTTATAAGGAAAAGCCCTGTAAGAATAATTCTTTTCTTTCCATGTCCCTGATATTAACAATGTTGGTGCTATAGGATAAGGTGTGAGAGGCAATTTGAATGGGTGTGGATGAACTAGATGGAGTCATGAACTAGAAGCAGTGAGGATGAGAATGGGAGCAAAGCTAAACTTAATCTACAAGAAGAGCATCAACTGCATAGTCACTAAGAACGCAATCAGCTGAGTGCTCAATGCTATCAACGTTTCTGCTTTAGTCAACTGCCTGCAGATGCTTTTGCTGTGTCTCTGGGAGGTGGGAAAGCTTCATGCTTTCACGTAGCACTTAAATGTCCCAACAATAACCATATGCAAGAAAACGTAAAAGCATACTCAAAACATAGAAACGCTAGCGGGAAAATAGCAGAGTTTTTGAGAGCAAAAGAAAAAAAATACTGGAGAAAAAGATAAGGGGGACAGAATTTCTTCACCTCAATGGCTTCCATCATGACACCACGCTATCCAACATCTTGTTTCAGAAAATGCTGCCTGACAGCAACTATCCCCTATGCCTGCTCCCAAGGAGTCACCTGTGGCAAATTTTGATACCAGTGTCCTAAAGTGGAGACTATTAATCGCCACAAATATGCCAAATGAACTACATTTATTCCTGTGGGTACAAGAAAGAACACGTTATAGTACAGCCACTCCACATCAAGAGGTGAGACAGACTCACCTCTGTATACATCTCCCCTGGGAAGGGTTTCCAGTGTCTATACCCTTGAAAACCTCTTCAAGGTACTCACTATTCACATGTACAGGACAGATGTTTCAGACTGCATCCTCACATGCTTTATAGCTAGATGTTAATAATTCATGTAACCTAGGGCTAAAGCTTCCCTTGTGAACATGCACCTCAATGTAGCATCCTTGGCACAATCAGATGAAGAAACTTAAGATTCACCTAAGTCTGCCTTGGTGCCTCAAACCAACATTATGAGGCTCAAAGAGCAAGTTTCTCTCTATGTGTAACGCAGCAAACAAGCCACATGTACCCAGAACTACAGCATCTGAAGGACACTGCCTGTTTTTGCAATCAAGTCCTTGTACTTGGCTTAAACAGATGTGTATAGACGTGACCTTCACTGCTTAGAAGCATCATGAAAAGCCATG